GGATCTTTGAAAAACCATAAACAACACGTTTTCTATCACGTAGTAGATCATGGTTGTTTAACTGTTCATGGCTCTATATATTTTCATCACTTTTACTAGAGAACCTATGAAGAACTGTCTTTTTTATGGCGTGTGGAAAGTGCAGAGTCTCTTTTTCATACCATTTATGTGTTTGTTAGTAGAAGAAGACAAAATTTATCATTTGAATTGTATCTGACCAAGAAAATGTATCTCCAAAGTAGTGTTTGCAGGAGAAGGCAAAAATGTTCCTAACATTTTATTGTAAGCTAATGGTTATTTTATTCAGAGTCTATTCCAAGTAATTCTGAATCATTTCTTTTGGCCCATTCATTATGAAAGGACCAGCTGCTGTGTTCAACTGATGCAGAAAAAAGTTTTGGACAGCGATAATTAATGAAAAATTACTATTATGCATAAAGCTTAAAAGAAAAAAACGTTCTTTGCATTTTTGCTGCGTTTTGGCCATTTCTTGAAATTGAGACTAACAAAAAACTTGAAAAAGCTGGCTTGGACATTTTGATACAGAATGTAAATCGAATGCAATTCATTGTGTAACTGATGTTTTTAAAAAGTACAGCAAGATACAGTTTTTAGGGTTAAAAACAATTTGCTTCTTATTATATCAGCCTTACAAGCATCCTAACAGCTTAGCTAGAACACATTCCATTTGTAAATAGTGTGGATTATTGACTAGCTTATCCGTATTGTGAGCAGCTGGTCCGGCGTGTGTCAGTAAAACTATCCTCTGGCCTCGAGCTTTTGTTATATTGAGTGTAAAAAAATGAACTCAGTTTGTCAGTCAATCCAATGAAAATGTCAATGTGTAATTGATTGTGCATTAGCTGCCCTGAGGCAGAGGCTGGCCGTTTGGTCAATATTAGCCTTATGCTAATCACGTTGGGTCTTGGGCCTCAGGTGTATGTTAAAGAACTATTAGGGCTTGCAGCTTAGGAAGCTGTAAGCAGCAGTTAGAAACAAGAGTGGCCTCAGCTGGGAGCGGTCATAAAGGGCCACAGTCATGGCCATCTTTGGATATAGCTCACATTAATCAACATTTCGCTTGTAACATGACTGTAATGGCTTAGCTAAAAAGCTCATCTCATCTTTACACAGTGTGGCAGGTGGTGGTGTTGCCCGTGTGAGTGACTGCTCTGTTTACTAATGTGCTTTACTCAATGAACTGATGCTGGTGCCATGTGTATAGGCTAGATTTGAATGCCCAGTCACCAAATTAAAGGCATATGTAAATAAAAGGGTAATATACAGTACTGTGCAAAGGTCAGAGAGGCCATCAAAATAGCCAGTACTAGTGAGTAGACAACTCAAGTATAAGTGAGAAGACAGTGCAGTGCTATGGGTCTGAAAGCATGTGTAGCTGTCAAGAAGCTGTTACTGAGAAAATAAAATAGCCAATAAAAAAAAGATATAAAACAAAGAAGCTGCTGGTGTTATTAGAATAATGGACCCCAGTTTCCAGACCTCAACATCATTGAATGTGTTTGGGATTACTTGGATCGTTCGCAGCAGAAAGTGCAACCAACTTCTAAGACTGAACTTTCAAGATGTGGAAAAATATCCCTGCAGATTTCTTTGGAAAAACCGAAAGCAAGTGTTCTGAAAAGAATGGAAGCTGTAATAAAGGTAAAGAGAGAGCACTCTAAATACTAAAAAGCATGATGATATATTTATTTGTTGAGGCTTCTGGGTAATTTTCTGTTAAATGTATAGTTTTTTGCTTTGTCCTGGTGATAAAAATTGAATAACTCATACTTGATGGCCAATTTAACTGTAAATTAGTTCAGTAAATGAAGGGTGGTTTCTAACTAATGCACAGCACTGTACATTTGACCAACCAGCAAGTTAGTTTACTGGCATGTGTGCTTAATTTTAACATCTGAGCAAACATAGAGGTCAGAAGCAGAGCAGTGAAGGGTGACCAAAGTGTCCCACATGAAGACTTTGAATGTCCATGGATGAAAAATGACAGAACATGCCCTTAACAATCTCCAGTCCACATATTCTACTCCACTAAAATAGTATAGCTTTTAAAATACTTTTTTTTTTGTTCTTCTTTTTTTTGCTATTTTTGTTTAAATATTCTGAAACCCAGTAGTTATAAATGTAAAAGGAAAAGAAATCAAAATCCCTTTCCTCTTCCAACCTGAAGCGAGTATGTCTTCATACATTTTTTTAACATGTAACATCATTAGTAGTAGTTTGTAATTGTAGTATTAGTATCATCATTAATACTATATATTACTGTCGAACAATAAAAATGTTTGGTCCTTTGGTCCCTTGGGGTGAAAGGTGTCTTTTTTTCTTTTTTTGTCAGTTGCACTGTAGAGCGATGGAAACCTCTGCAACCACAGAAGGTCAAAAGTTCCGCGCTTGCAGAGAGAGAAACGGTGACAGAAGAAAGGAAAGAGGGAAAGAGAGAAAGAAAGTCTGCCGGTGGCATAGAGGAGCTTTTTATCCACTGCTTCTTTTTTTCCCTTGATCTTCAAGTTATAACCCTCATTAGTCCAGTATAATTAAAAGCTGGAAGCGCCTCTTCCGTTATATAGCATATGTGTATATAATATGTATATAGAAATCTATGTTGTTCTTGCTGCTCTTTTCTTTTTTGTTTGTTGCGTAATTGACAACTCAAGTCTCAGCGGAAAAAAGTTCCGGAGCTTAAAAGTCCTCGTCCTTCGAGATTTTCCCTCCACGTTCCTGCTTTTTTTCATGTCTTTCTCGCACTGTGCTGCTTGTAGTTTGTCCGTGGGGCGCTGGCTCCTTCGCACCTCTCCGCTCTGCCGGACGTCTTCTTTAAGTAAATGCTGATATGTCTTCGGGAAAAAAAAACCCTTTCATCTTCTTCTTTTTTTTAAAACTTGTTTTATTTATTTTTAAAGAAAAAAATTGAACTCCTTTTGAGATTTCACTCTTCTGAACCTACAAAAGATGAAATAAAAGGAAGATCAAGCTCAGCTTTTACTTCAGAAAAGCATCTCTCACTGAAAAAAAAAAATATCTTATTCAAACAACTCCAGGCAGCAGAGCCGCTCAAAGATGGATTAGGCTTTTATCATGAAATTGCAAATTACAAATTAAGCCATTTCAGGCTCTGAATCAATTTCTGTCTCCCCAAACAATGGCAGAGCTCCCTGTCATAAAACCAGTAAATGACATCAGATATCAGAAGGACAACTGAACATACGTGATACATTAATAATACATTACAGGCCAAAAGGTTAATAAAAATAAAACAAAAAATCTGTTTGTTTTCAAAAGATAACTGGCAGTAGCATAGAATAAAAGAGTTTGGCTAAATGTCTGCAGTAATAGTATCCAACTAACTGATTCTTCTTGCTCACACTAATAAGAATATTTGAAAATGCTGTTTTTGAGTCAAAATATTTTCCATTCACATCTTTTAGATAGTCTTTTATAACTCTTTTTATATAATTCTTAAAACATTTTCCTTTTTGAAATCTGTCTGGCCCTCCTGCATGTTGTCAATAAGATGCATTTTCAGTATTTGAGAATGCTGTTTTTAGTTCAAGTTATATTTTGTAAAGGCAGCATTCAGAATACAGTTACGTTTTACATTTTTAGGAGAATACTTTTAGATTATAGATTTATTTATATTTAGAAGAACCATCAATTATTACAAACTATTTTAGGTCAATGCACAGTGTGTAAAGATATACTATAAAAAAGAACTTAAAAACCGGCTTCTTTACAAACAAGTTCCTACTAAAGCCTGAGTAGACTGATGAATCAATGTGATGATCAGTTATTAATCTCAGTGTTACTGAGCTCTGCTAAAGCCTGAGTAGACCGATAAATCAATGTGATGATCAGTTATTAATCTCAGTGTTACTGAGCTCTGCTAAAGCCTGACTAGACTGATAAATCAATGTGATGATCAGTTATTAATCTCAGTGTTACTGAGCTCTGCTAAAGCCTGAGTAGACTGATAAATCAATGTGATGATCATTTATTATTTTCAGCATTATGAGCTATTTTGGCTGATCAAACTTCACAGTCTCCTCAGTAGTGGATGTATTCATAAGTTATAACTTAGCATCGGTGTTGTACTGGACTTGTGCAGGCATTTTGAGGGAAGTTACGTACACACCATTGACTGAAAATCATATAGTTCCCCACTTTTAGTCAGATTCGTAAGATTTTGTTATTGGGATATGGTGAATTGTTTGCATAGTTCATGAGATGGCAGTGGGATTATGGGAGCAGCGGTGGACTGAAGCAGATGATGAGAGCCAAAACAATGTAGAGAATTTTATAACTTTTTTTAAATAATGTATTTTTTAGCCAGACAGCTAACATTTCTGCAGCTGTATAATCATTGTAATGATGATTTGTAATCAAATCATTATTACAATAAAGAGAATGTATTACTCAAAGGACAGAAATGAGTCATCAGACAACAAACACAACAAGCTAAATGCTAAAGTTAGCAAGGAAACAAACTGGTTATTTAGATATAATATAATTGATTAATTTAGATATTATATCTTACCTCAGTTTGACATCTTTTCTCTGTTTAAAAGGGTAAAAATCTTTTGTTCTGAATAAAGATAGAATTGCTGTTTTCTGTTTGCTCAATCAGGATAGGTTGACCCCACAGGGATTCCTATTGTTGTGATGATGCATTTGTGGGGTATTGTAGTGAGAAAACACTGATATACAAAACCATGAAAACACAAAATCATGAATTCTGGCAAAACTCATATAATGCTTCTCTACAGAACACTGTTTAGCACTCCCAATAACACAATATACTTTCATTTTAGACCTGAATGCTGTTTTAATTGTAAAACATTCCTGGAAATCACTGCTTGCTTCTATCCTTTTAGCCTGGAGTGTACATTCCCAATCCCTCGTCTTATTGACCGTAATGGATTCATATGGCGCTTTTACAGTTTGGTGTGGGGAGTGTGTACCTGTGCTGTTGCAAAGAGCCTGGTGTGTATCGTGCTGTGTCAGTAGGGGCGGCTGGCGTCTTTCGGCCGCTTTAACTGCACTTTCAATCGCTTCATGCCGATCTGAAAGCCATTCATGGCCTGGATGGCGGCCTGGGCACTCGCTGGGTTATCAAAACTCACAAAGCCTGGAAAAGAAAGAAAGAGAGAGGACCTGAGAGTCAGTCCATGTCCACTCACAAGGACCAGAGGTGGCCAAGGCAAACAGTTTATGTTTGAGTAAATTCTGTCTATATAAACTCTTTCTGAGCTCTTTTTCTTCAGGTATGAGTGAAGCTTGTTCAAAATGATTCATTTTTTACAAGAGAAATGGAAACCCTTAATCCTCCTAGGTCCCCCACGGCATATACTTCCTGTTACATTTTGTTGAATTATTTCTTTATTCTAGCTCGTAAAAACAAGCAGAGAAATTCTGTGGAAAGTGCAGATCAAAAACTGTCAATCAGCACCACATTTGTGTTTGTATGTAGAAAAGAGGATATTTTTTATGACTGTATTGACTGTAAATAGGATGTGAAATATGAAAAGTTATCGTTATTTGTATGGTCTTGTTCTGTGGAATAAAAAACAATTCTTTACATTTTTCTCATATTTTTGCCATTTATTGTGCAAAAAAACAGCACCAGCATAAACCTGCTTAGACCAGCATGGAATTCATGCTAGTTCAAGATTGTTTGTGCTCGTCTGGTGCTGGTTTAGCTGGTCACCCAGCCTTGTCAAGCTGGTTGACCAGCATATCAGCATCCAAAACACAAAACTAGTTTCGTGGGTGTTCAGCATAGCAGCTTCCATTGCTGCTGACCAGTAACCAACATCCAAAACTTAACATATCGCTGCTGTCGGAAGAAATCCTTGTATCTCCAAAATGGTAACTTTACAGGAGAAGAGAAAAACATACTTTAATTTTAATGTAAGTGAATGGAACCAGACATTTTTGTAAAGAACAACAGGTGCTTTCAAATTATGTCAAAAAATGAAAAATGGAGGTATGAGGTTTTCTTCCAACAGCAGCGATGTGCTGGTGCAGGTCTATGCTGGTTTTTGTAACAGAGGAACCTCCCAACAGTGAATGTAAATCAAATGTAAATTTAATACGTTATGTATTATGTAACATTTATGAACCATGACGATTAGAGCTTGGCCTTTAGTTTGTGCCGTAAAAGTTGAAACTTGGTCAAAAACAAGGACAAATCAGGCTAATAATGATAATGATAAGGTTAGTTTCTGCTAGCACCCCAAAGGGATTTTAGTTGTTATGTTAGTGGTAAGTTAACAGGGATTCACGTGAGCATTTTTTGGCTGATCTAGATTATTGACATTTGAAGCTTGTAAAAGATACTCTGTGTTATTTGAGACCTATAACAGATATATTAACATTTATTTTACCTTGTAGCAGTTTTGCAGTGACTCAGTAAAGAGCTCTGGCATAGAGCTGACGCCGTTTCTATTTTTAAATGTGGACTGAAATGTATTGGTCAGTCTATCACTTATGTTCACCATCAGTTATGTATCTAGGACTTCCAGAAGGCCTACCGTGATGCTTTATCTCAGAAAAGTCTTCCCATTGTAAATCATATCATAATTGGTTGATTCTGTCACTTCCTAATTATATCAGTGGTTAATTTGACACATTAGGCTTGCTTGGCTGTACCTCCCTAGATACCACAGGAAAAAAAAATCCTGATGTGACAATTTTCTATTAGATATTTAAAAAACAACGTTTTGACAGTGAAAACTTATAAGGGTTAAACTAGAAAGCCCTGAATAAGCACGCTTTTGCTTCCTAAGCACTGTGACTTGCATGAATAGCAAATCTGAAAGCATTTTTAAGAGCTTTGCAGTATGTGTAAGGCAGCAGGGCAGCGTGGAAGAGGGCTGAATATCCCCAATGGACACTGTATGGGGGTCACACCCGCTGGTCACAGCAGACCCCGGCTAGCCCCGTGCATCTTGTTCCCATCACGCTCTAAAAGCCAAGGCTGGAAAACCGGTGACCAGAAACTGTAATAGAGTAGAGTGTGGCTCGGTGACTGCACTCTCTCTGATGTTTTGCGTGTCAGGAGGATGCAGCGGTGAACTGTGAAAAGCAGCGAGGGCCTCCCTGTTCCCTCTAGAGAGCCGCATGCAGGGCGATTAACCGGGCCTGTCCCAGACTCTGTTTTCAAATATATGCATATATTGTTGCCGTAGTAAGAAAACCCCACAACTTGTAAGAAAATGACAAAATCTGCTTCAATTTTTTTCTTCATAAATTTTTCTGATGCTTATTTTTGTACAAAATCAGCAGCTGCCATTTACATTTTAAAGGCCCATATTGTGGAAATGAAAACTTTTCTCACTCTTTTGGAATAAAAGAGTTTGTAAACAACAAAGTTTTGAAGTATACCACTCAAAAATATTTTTTGTTTTGTTTTTGCGATGTCAAGATAAATTATCTACATATATCTGCCTGTTCCAACTACAGCGCCGTAGCCCCGCCTATTCAAGCTGAAGTTATAAAGAATGTTTCAGCCGTGCACTGCTTTTTGAATGAGGCACAAAACAGGGCGGCAAATCAAAACAGAACTCAGTAACATATATCACTCTTAAAGGCACAGTAACAAGAAATCTTGCTTAATTCTAAGAGATAAAGAGAGGCTGGCAAATGTTTTAAATATGATTAAAACACATAAACATTAGAAGTGGAAGTAAAATGAAAAAGATATATTCAAGATATATTCACATACATGCTAACTCATTCATGTCTAGTATGATAAGGACAAATGGGACAGAACTCTCTGTGATTGGTCTAAAGTGATAACATTTGGTATAGTTATACCTTAGATGGACTAACAGTGCCTATTTAAATTTTCATTTACAAGCAATTTTCATACTTTTATTCACAAATTCAATCAAATTCTGATTTTCTATTGTTTTGGTAAATCAAACGTGACCAAATTCAATATAATAAGTGATAAAATCTCTCTTTTTAAACGTGGTTTGAGCGAGGTGAATAATTCTTCAGAATTGTGCTCAGAGAACATATCATTGCTGTTGAAACATGTCAATTTTTCTTTTTTTTGTACATAATTTTAAAATACCAGCTACCATTTACACCATCTCCAAATGACATTACTAACGGACCAACAGAAAGTGACCCAATAAAATCTTGTTGCATTCACTTACAGTGAAAGTTAAGAATGTTTTTCCTTCTCTTTTAAAGTTACATTTCTGGAAAAGATTTTGCTCTGATAGCAACGATATGGACCAAAATGAATGTAAAACATCACATGGACATAAATAGGTTAGGAACTTTTTTTCCCTGGTTCTGTTAAGCTTCCGTTTCAGATATAAGAGATTTTTCTAACAGTGATGATACGAAAAGAGCCCCAGTGAAGCTTGCAGAGGGATGTAGGCCTATATCAGTGAATCTATAAGTGTCACTGCTCTTATTGTAGTGACATAAGCCCGGCTCTCCCTCGTGTACTTCTTCAGTAGATTAATTACCCCACTAAGTGCCCATTCGCTTGACCTGACATTGCGTTTTAAATGCATAGTGTATAAGTCAATACTGCAAATAGGTTCTCCCTCACAGCATCCATGTTATTAAGCTCCCTCTGGAGACTGTAGGCTGTATTAATTGTGGTCTGGGAAGAGCTGCTCCCTGGAGTTATCGCAGATCCCAAGGAATTTTGTTTGGTCTCTCCAACCCAGGCTTTTCAGGGAGGATGTCAAGAGGTCTTGTATTGTGAGTTGGTGAAATACAGTAAGGTTGAACCTTTTTTTTGGTTCTGTTCATTTTTCTTTTTTAAACAATACTCTTTTCAGACACAAAGCCCTGTAGGCACTGCTCCCCATTGACATCCATTTAAATTCAAAAACCCATAAAAAGTGCATTCAACATTTTTGAAAAGATCATCCTTCCGTGTTAATGTGAAACCTTAAATAACCTGCTCTTTCGCCGTTGAAATTCACACTTTTCAAATCCATTATTAATAAGGAAAGTTCACAGACAATTATCACAGGTCTTGAGTTGGTGTGCAATTTACAACTCTGTCTGTCTCTCTGCCGTTTCCTAAGTTAATGGTCCAATACTTTGACTACTTTGGGTTTCTGTGTGCAGAAAGAAGAATGATCATTTTATAACATTCCCACAAGGGCACATTAGGAGAAAGAAAAGAATGACTGACTGAGGCCAAAACTTTTTTACAAGCATGAGAATTGTTCCTACTAGGCATGTGTAGATATGAACATTTTATCCTGATAATTTCCTAACGTTTTACTGCGGCTTATGATGATGTATCAGATATCAAATATCAGAATATTGTGTTGTATTAAATAATTCTGTTTAATATAGTAATACATAGGTAACACTTTATTTGGCGTGGTCATCTGTAGATTAATGACCTCTTAACAGATTATCAGTAAAACATCAACAACATATCAGTGAAGTAGCAGTAGTGCAGCATCTGAATACACTGATACATTGATACGTTGATACATTACTTACATTAAGTAGTTGTATTGTTAATATGTTACTCCCATTATGCAAAACCTAACCTTACCAACCTTACCCACAACCTAACCCTAACCCTGGCCCTACATATTAATGCCTCCTTGCATTTATAACTGAAGCTAACCTCCTGCTAAAGCATTGGACGTCTGTACTTTATAAGTAGCATTTCTATATCCACTGCTACTATAATTCAATTTCTACTAGCACCCTTATGGCTGTCCCCATATTAAAGTAGCATCAGTTTAATGCTACACTGCTCCAGCCTGAACACAGACATTTGAAACTATTAACAGACATTCAGGTAATATACTGTATTTCTACTCTGCAAGTTCCAGTTTTAAAGTGAATATTTCAGTAAGTTTTTTCAACTTAAAGCTTAACTCTGGATATAACTGGATTAGCCTCCGTGAAACAGAACGGCTTTCTTATGTAGAGATTGTTTATTTTATGTTTTGGACTTTTTATATCATAGACACAGAACTGCAAACATACA